TGAAATTATAGGATCGGCTAAAATCAGCAGAACCTTATTTATGTTATTTTACGCGAGGGAAGTTAAAATTTTCTGTTCCCACCAACCTAAATCAGTTAACTAACAACATGACTTCATTACCCGATTCACAAATTATTTTCCCGCCCCCAACAAAGATCCAACACTATCACAAAAACTAACTTATAACAGATAAAATCAAATTTGATTCTATTTAAACCCCTATCCTTAAAACCCTAGGTTTCTCTTTTCAACACGACAATGGTAAAACTAAAACCCTGACAACAATGGTCTCTCTATCTTCAGGGAAGAAGAAAGTCACTCCTTTGCCTCTTCGATCTCGATCCCAGCATCAAAGATTACCAAAGAAAAACGCATGCTGGGATTTATGTTGGACAATGCTCTGCATCCATCTCTGCATCATCTTTGGCTTCATGCTCTACTCTGGGATGATCCATGTCCACTTCTCTTCAGGTATTCATACAATTTTTCTCCTTTTCCCCTCTGTTTTCGATGATTTATGAGTTTTGAGTCCTGTTTCAGTTGGTGGGCATCGGTTTGTTAGAGTGAATAATGCACAGTCGAGTGATCTTACCACATCTATTGAAGAAAGATTGGTGAATAAACTTGTATACGACGATGAGTTGGATTCCAGCGAATCGCCAGCTCGGCCTACGGATTTGATTGCAAAAAAGCACCCTTGTGAGGGTTTCACGAGACATCCTCCTCCATCACATTCTAGAAAAAGAACTGGGCCCCGAAGTAAGATTTACTAAGAGGAAGCACCAAACTAAAATTTACATATTATGTCTAAGGAAATATTGTTGTGTTTATGTTTTCAGGTTGCGATGTTTGCTATGTCCCTGTTGACGAAGCAGAATCGTATATGCCATCTTTGCCATCAGAATCACCAGTTTTGAAGAATTTGTCGTATTATTATGCTAAAAATCCTATACAGAAGAAAGAATTGGCAAATGGAGAGAAACTCAAAGGGTCTGACTTTGGTGGTTATCATTCTCTCATGCTTCGAAATATTTCATTCGATATACAAAATTCGATGATTGTTCCCTGCGGGTATGTTTTCTTACCTCCATATTTATTGTAAACTGTGGATCTTTGGTGTAAAGTTTATGTTTTTAATCAGTTTTAATTACGATCTTGCAGGTTTGTTCTAGGAAAAAGACCTGGAAGGGGAACTGGGTTCGACATTAACTTTGCAGATCTTTTACAGATGGAGGAATGTCGTGGAATAGTTGTTGTATCTGCTATATTTGGTACTAATTTATCAAACTATTTTTGTACTTTTTGTTCTCAGATTTTGTTTGCTTAACAAAGACTTGTTCTTATAGTTTGTTGGCTTAACAAAAACCATTTTTTATGATGTCTATGTCATCAGCTAATTTTGATGTACTGCATCAACCAAGAAATATCAACGAAAGGTCAAAGAAAAATGTGTGTTTTTTTATGTTTGTGGATGAAGAAACAGAAACCATCATAAAGAAAGCCGCTAAAGTTAATAAAAAAGCCAAACAAATTGGGTTATGGAGATTGGTAGTGGTGAAGAATCTACCATATGACGATCCAAGACGAACTGGAAAGGTACTCTTTTTTCTTCTAGATTATCAACAGATTTTGTTATTTGGGATCTTAATTATAATTGCATATTTGGGCTCAAAAAATGAAGCATTGGAAAATTTTACAGAGGATAATGGTCTCTTCGTTATGCCCATTCCTATCCTCGCCCTAGTGATAGAATCCTTTGGTTTCTGCATAGGGAGTGCCATCAATTTGGAAAGACGATTTTTTTGTTGAATCAGTTGAACAATAAAAAGAAGATCGTTAACTTGATGGATGTCGTTATTGTGAATAATGTTTACTTTTTGGCAGATTCCCAAGCTTCTAATTCACAGGCTTTTCCCAAATGCTTGCTATTCAATATGGATTGATGGAAAGCTTGAACTTGTTGTAGATCCTTATCAGATTCTTGAAAGGTATAGCAATACTATATATTGAGACGATATTAAACGTTATATCTTTCTATAATTAGAAATTTGTTATTAAAGTCATGTACTGAATAATAGACTTGAGCACCATGAACTTTTGATTTCAGATTCTTGTGGAGGGAAAAAGCTGATTTTGCAATTTCCAAACATTATGCACGCTTTGACGTTTTCGTGGAGGCGGAACATAATAAGGCTGCTGGAAAATATGACAACTCCTCTATTGACGCTCAGATTAACTTCTATAAGGAAGAGGGTCTTACTAATTTTTCTCCAGCCAAACATCCTATTATTAGCGGTAGGGCTAGCTTTAATTTCCAAAACTTACAGGGAAAAATTCTAATTTTTATTTGATTGCAACTTTTACAATATGTAGATGTCCCTGAAGGGTGCGTTATAATTAGAGAACATACTCCTATAAGCAATCTTTTCGCTTGCCTTTGGTTCAATGAAGTCGATCGTTTTACTTCAAGGGATCAAATCAGTTTCAGCACTGTAAGAGACAAGATATTGTCCAAAGTAAAATGGAGTGTTAACATGTTTGAAGATTGTGAACGGCGCAATTTTGTTATTCAGGTAAATAAAATAACTTCAATATGCTCCACAGTTATTTCTTATTTTGATTAAGGTTAATGGCCCATGAACCCCCTGAAGTATCACTGTTTTGAACTTACTACCCTGTAGTTTCCTTATTGTAGATAGACCTTCTGGGTTTTTATTTTTATTTTTATTTGTCACTTTTACACTTAGTGGGGGTTATTGGTTGGGATATTTTGGGGGATAATGGTATAATTTTGGGGATTCTATTTCATAGTGTTATTTATTGGGACAATGGAACAAGGATAATACCTTTTTGTTTTATTGGATTTTTGGAACACTAGTGAGACAATTACACCACTTGGGATAAAATTACCCCACTCATATATAAAAATTTTGTCCCAATAGTAAAAATTTACCCCATCCTCTATATTGGAACAATGTTGTTCCACTTTGAAGGCAATTGGGATAATTTTAAAATATTTTTGTATTACTTAACTAATACATGCAATTATATTATAAATATATGACATGATATATAAAATATAACATATATTAATATTTTAATAACATAATTTAATAACATATATTAATAATATTATATAATAGTAATTATAGTATAACTTATTTATTATAATATTGTATAATATTGTAATAACATATATTAATAATATTATATAATAACATATATTAATATTTTAATAACATATATTAATAATATTATGTAATATATTATTATATAATAGTAATTAGTAATTATAGTATAACGTATTTATTATAATATTATATAATATCATATATTAATATTTTAATAACATAATTTAATAACATATATTAATAATAACTATTAATAACATATATATTAATATTTTAACAACAAATATATAATATTTTACATAACATATTTAATAGTATTATTAATAATTATTATGTAATATTAATTAGTAATTATAGTATAACGTATTTATTATAATATTATATAATATTTTAATAACATATATTATTATATAATATATTTATTATATAATTAATTTATAAATTATTATTATAGTTATTATATATATGACATACTATTATAATATAATATAATAATTACTAATATTTAGTAAAATATTATGATATTAATATAATATAATTACTATAGTATGAAATAATATAATATATTAACTATAACATGATACCTTTTAATATATATTATAGTATTATCATGTTAATATATATATGTTATATGATATTTTAAAAAATATTACATTGAATAAAGTAAAATATTATAATATTTTATAAAGTACATTATATCCTATGATACTATATTATAATATATTAAATTAAATAATATATTATTAAAGTATTATATTATATATATTATTCATATATTATATCAATTATTATATAATGTAGCATACTAATATAATGTTAATTAGTAATTATTGTATAACATATTATATTTTTGTATAAATAAAATAATATATTATATTAAATATTATATTATTAAAATATTATATTATATATATTGATATTATATTATATTAATTATTATATATAGTATAGCATGCTAATATAATATAATATAATAATTAATAATAGTAATTTGTAAGTATAGTACAATATATTATATTTTAATATAAAGTAAAATAATATTTATATTATAATAATATACTAAATAATATACTAATAATATACTAAATCAATTGGATAAGTTAATTTTGAAGTAATTAATAGATAAAATTATATTTTAATAAGGTGCAACATCATCAATTATCCCACATGAATTGTCAAATCAAAGGCTCAAATTATCCCATTATCCCACTTTATCCCACTCAAAATATCCCAAAAGGATAAAATTGTTCCATTGGAACAATTTTCCCACTTGGCCCCAATTTGTCCCAACCAATAACCCCCCTTAGACTCACTAATTTCACCCATGCGTAATATCTTACAAAATTTCACTCAGGGTAAGAGAGTCACCCATGAGTAATATCTTACAAATTTCACTCAGGGTATAAGAGTAAAAAAAGTTTAATCCAGGGGTTCTCAACGCAACAAGGAAACAATAGGGACAGTAACAATACTGCGGTGGGTCCATCTGCATTTAATCCTTTTGATTAATACAATCATCCTTTTTAGTATGTCTACATTCTGAAATGAAATGTATTTTTTGCAGTCACATCACAAGGATTTGTTAGAGAAAAAGAATTCAACAGCCACTCTCAAGCTTCCTCCTTCAGACACAGTGCCTAAAGACTCAAGTAGTGAACAAAGATTGCTACCAACAAAATCCACAAAGAACATAAAGGATGAGAAAATTGATCTAAGGCATTCATCTTCACGCACATTGCCAAATGACTCAAGTACTAAGAAAAGACTGATAACAATACAATCAGTGGAGAATGTAAAGGATGATAAAATTAGTCTAAGGCTTCCTTCTTTGCATAAAGTGCCTAAAGACTCCAGCATTATACAAAGACCGATAGCAACTCAATCGACAAGGGACAAAATGGGTGAAAAAATTGTTCCAAGGCATCACAATCGAAAACTTCCCCGTTCTAGGAGAAAACATGAGACTTAAACACTATCTATGCTATATTGTTGTGGGGGTCAAAAGGCTTAATCTGCTTTATGAGGTAAGAAATTAATCAGAGTTTTGGCGATATTTCTTGTGTTCTATATTGAGATGGAATGTAGAGGAATCTGCATAGTTGTGTGTATCCTCATTAAAACTAACGTGCTACGTTATATACACTTTGTACTTTTGAAGGTGGTGCTGCGATTTCTGTGTACTTTTTGGGTTGTTTCATTAAATATTTATTAATGGAATAGAAGATTACTTGTTAATTGTGAGAACGTTATCTTTATGATCTGAAGCTTCACTTGGTGAATTTTCTAATTGGACAATTGTATTATGTGGTTTGGATAATTGTCATTATGTCACTGACATTGAGCACATTTCGCCTTGAATGTGTATGGTGAAGACATATGTTCAAAGTTCATTGAGTTTTATCAAGTGGATTTACGAGATTTGGTATTATTTTTCTGGACGATACTTTTTGGGTAGTCAGATTCTGGGTATCAAAGTGCAATACTTGATTACGTTCCTTGTTTGGTTAAAAAAATCCATCTTCGGTGCATTAATCAGGTTTAGCCTTTTCATGTCTCTTGGCACTGAGTTGTACCCGATTTTTTACTTGCAGGCATTTTTCATGCCAACCCAGACAGAAGGTCGAGTAGAATTTGACGTTTGAGCTGAAAGAAGTTTTACAAAACAATTTTGTCTTGAAAAGAAAAGTTTTAGCATATATTCCCTACGTGTATCTTTCTTTCGCCTTGTAGAAAAGACCAAGAAAGATGCTTCACATATGCATTTCTGTGGTTCGATGCTATCTTCTGTAGTGTTCTCAACAAAGTCTCCAAAGCCTTATCTAAATATATAGAACTGGGCCATCTCTTCTCGATGAAATATGACCTCCACTCAGTTACTGAACAATAGAGAATACTAATACTTGTACAAATATTCGAGAGCTTTTAAATCATTTTGACCAGCATAAACTATCACTTCAATCAAATGATTACAACAGTGTGTCAAGAAATTCTCTGTAAAGACCGCAAGGATCTAATCATCTGTGCCTATGGTTTAGTTCTCTTAATTGGTTGTACTTATTTCATCTTACCAATTTTCGTTTGTTTATCATTTATGAGGATGCTCTTTTTTCTCTAATAAATCAAGGAAGATTTTCTTTATCAAAAGTAGGTTTTGAGGACATTTGGGATCTCCACATCATGCATACATCTTCAAAAAAGAGGCTGAGAATTCCCTACTTCAAGATCATTGTAATGTAGTAAATGTTTATCGTAATATCCCGTTTTGTACATTCTCAAAAGTTCTTCTTGTAGGATTTAATTTGGCTCAACATTGCAACATCTTACAATAGATTTCCATTTTCTCCTTTAACATGCTTTATTAAGACCGTCTGTTAAGAAATTTCATGACTAGTATTTGGTCAGGAACAAGTGAAAGCCAGCAAGAAACATGCTCATCAGTGACGTACTATGAATAACAGAAGTTCCTTAAACAAGACATGACAAGAATTATTACATAGCCAGTTGAAGAAGCCAGAGTCTGACTTCCTTCTAGCCTTAAAGATGCATACAGGCCCTAGGCAATGATGGAACTTAATACATATTTGATTCTTTCATCCCTTTATGATATAGATATAGGGGAACATTTCCTTCGATTTCGTCTTTCATTCACCACAGCCACAACCGGCACAGGTGCAGTTGGTTTTGCACTTACACTTGCCATCGTTCTCCACAACATCGATGACCTCCTCAAATTAAGGTTCTGCAGGAAATTATCATAATTATCAAAAAAGACAGATGATATCCACAATTTTATGTAATTTAGGAGAATACCCTGCATCTTTTCAAGTGTAAATGTAATATATAAATATAGTGGGCAATAAATGATGATAGAGGGCATTTTCTCTGGTCTAAACTGGCTATAAGTTTTAATATCAAACAAGAACAAATAGTATTAAATATGAATATTGTGTATTACACATATCATTTATCCGAGAGAATTCCCTCATATGACGTACAATACCCATTAATGTCAAACTTAGATATAATTAAATATAGAGGGACATTTTCCTCGTTGCTATTGTTTCTAGCATAAAAAATGATTATGTAGGTGCATGAAAGTATTTACAGATGCCAGTTTGGCATCAGTACCTTTTCTCTGTCTCAACGATCACAACTCCATAATCGTTTTCTTTCTTCCTGAAATCACAAGTAAATTTCTTTTGATAGCTGCTTGAAATTTAGCTGATAAATTATACAAGTTTTTGTAAAAAATAATTAATTAAAGATAGTGCAAAGTCTGATTTCTTTCATTAATCACTTATAGAGAATCCCGTGCCAACTGATGTTCATGATGCTTATTAGTTAATTAACTAAAAAATCCAGTGGAAAACGAAAAATTAGTAGACAAGAAAAATGGTTCAATACATGCGTCTCTACCTCCAAAATCAGCTAAAAAACTTTATTTTATACCTACAAAATGTTATGTTCAGTACGTATCACCATGGCTAAGATATCGAATTATTTCATTTAAAAAAAATTAAGCTACTCTATGGAAGCTTAGGGGATTTTTTTGTGCTCGGTGAGGCTAGAATTGGCGGATATTTATATGTTTCAAACATTCATATCATTCATTGATTTTTGTGGGCGAGTCCACAATCACCTTTGCATTCTCTTCCTCTTTCAAGATGCATACAAATGACTGAATGAGCATAGGGATTCCACAAGCAACCGCCTGACTTTGTGCATTTCAATCCAGAACTAGATGTAATTTATGCTTAGCTAGGGTTTTTAGCTTATATAGTTTGGTTCCACCAAAAAAAAACAGTACATTTTGTATAATTCTTATAGATTTAAAATTCAATGGTCTTCACTTTTATGGGACACAACTGCCATATAAGACTTAGTTTCATTTTCTGAGATGTAATATAAAGGAATCTGCGCAGTTGTGTATATCCCCGTTAAAACTAATGTGCAGCTTATGTACACTTCGTGCTTTATATGTGGCAGGGGCGTACCAGGGTACTCTTGCCCTAGGCAGCTGCCCAGGGTAAGAAAATGGCCGGCCCTCTACGTCCTAGTTCCTACTTCTCCGCCGGTTGGTTGGCCCTCTACGTCTTCGGCCTCCTCTTTATGGGCGTCGCCCTCTCCGTCGCTGTTCCGGCCACGGTGGTGACCTGGATCACCGTCCTCATGTTGCTAGCATTCGCGTGGAAACCAAGGAGGACACTGGTGATGGAGGTAGTCTGGCAGTGACATATCCCAACGATTTTTTGCCCAGGGTAAAAAAAATTCATGGCTACGCCACTGATATGTGGTGCTACCTTTTTGTAACTTTTGTCATGTCCAAAATAACAGAGGAATATAGATACGGAGTGCGCTACGGCATCGACCTATGCACATGACAAGTCTTATGCACATGTTAAACCTGATCATATAGCTTTTCTCAAAATACATAAAAGCTCATGATGATATAAGTTTAGAGCAAACTATAAATATACCTAATTAGTACGTATAACCCAAAAGCTCACTGTTACATGCACTTTACAAAACCAAACTATACTATCTAGCCATACACGTGGCAAAAGTGAGCCTACTTTATGATGCCTCTTTACAAAGCTTTCATCCAAAAATTCCGCTCGCACATTCTTACATGAAAGCTAAGAATTTTTTTTAAAAAAACAACAGTGTGATCTAATGCCCAGTGAGAGTTTCTAGGTACCTAACAAAATAATTATTATCAAAATATTAAATTATAAGTTTTACACCTTTGGTTCTGAAATGACAAATTATGGCATAAAAGAAGACATTGATAGTATTTTCAAGAAAGAATATAATAATTTAAAATTCTTCTTACATGCAAATTGAATACATTGTCTTAAATCAAATTTTGCAATCAAGATGTACAGTGTAAAAATGGAAAACAAAAATTTGTGTAAAGCAAGAAATTTTTGTTTTCTCAAATCATGATGAGTTGTTCACATAGTTACAAGAATCTCATCATAGGTCACACCAAGGTTACGAATATTATAGCTCAATAGCATGGGAATGCATAAAACATATAAGAGAATAGATAATTCCTAAGAACAAAATGCAATTAACACTATCATAGCCGCTTGAAAGATCAAAAATGCCCAAAAAAAGCTATATCAGAAATGCCCAAAAAAGGCTATATAAAGGTGCATTCACCATATGACAGACACAAACATAACACTTCATAATAGATTTTTGAAGGGTTTTTAAATCATTAAGAACATTTGCTAGGCAATATATGTTAGACCCTAGAGGGGGGGGGGGGGGGGCAAAACGATATGATCACGGAGTTCGGTCTAACCACTTGACCTACGTCTCCGCTCCTCACCTCGAGGAGATCTCCACTATCACAACCGGGTTTTCTACGTTCACCCGAACAACGTTTACACCTCACAATACAATCACTATGCAATCACACCTCACACACTAAGTGTTGGTCCTAGCCCGTGTCCTCCTCCTCAAGTGCTCGGTTACAACCTCTCCCTAGGCACGTCAACCGACGCCACTCCTCTTGGATTCGACCCCGTCTCTCACCACACACTTCTCTCGGTGTACAAGTGTATTACAAGTGAATCCTCATAATTAAGCACAATATAACAAATGATTGTTCTCTCTAACAAGGTGAGAACTCAATTAGGCTCAACTCAATGTCACACAACCCACAACCCAATTATATAATGTATGCAATTACAATAAGCTCAATGGTTGTGTGTGTAAACAAAGAGTGAAATCAAATCTAACTCAAATAGAAAACTAGCAATAAGAATATGAAAATCAATAATAAAATTGCTAGAGAAAAGTGTTAGAAAACTTCTCTAAAACACAAAGAAGATGATGAAGAGGATTGAGAAAGAATCCCTCAATCTGCAGTGAAGCTTCCTCCTTTGTAAACAAAAACCAAACTTAAAACAACCTGTAAAACTCTTTTAAAACCCTTGTTTAAAACCTTGTTTAAAAATTTCTTAGATCTCTTGAAAGAGAGCAGCAATAAGGTATTTATACCCACTCTAAATCTCAGTCAAAACCCCTAACAAAAGACAAAAACAACCCCAGCAAACAGCTCAGGAAATAACCGTTGGGAAAGCAACGGTCATATAGGCGGTCGACCGGTGGAAATATCGATCGACCGACGGAGAGCAAAAACACGAAGAAAAAGTTCTGGACCATCGTCGGTCGACCGGTGCGGTCGACCGATGGAGCTCTCGGT